ATCTATCTATCTATCTATCTATCTATCTATCTATCATCTATCTATTATTTTCAATGTACCTCTAGCCATTTCTGAAGAATGCATGCCTTACATTATTTGGATCATGGATACTTCAATTCTGGGCATCCATTCTAATGCTAGACAGGCATCTAGACGAGTCATTGATTATGAAGAGGATATGAACTACTGACTAACGTCATAGTTCCTAGCTCTTTCTACTCAGCTGATCTTCCATGTCTCTTCATTATAGCCAGCCCCCAGGCACTCTCACAGGTGTCTTATTAGACAGAATGATTATATTTCCATTCCTTGTTAGCTATGGAATAAGGAAACCCTGCCCTTGTACCTAGGAGCTGCAGGCCTTTACAGGGCCCCCACTTCACTGCTCTTCTAAGTTAGGATATACATTATACATTTAAGGTTGTAGAAAACCTTGTCTTGGGACTAAAAGAATAAACCCAGAAGACATTGTGTATAAGCACAGAACACCTAATACTAAACAACCTCACTAAAACATATATAGTCAACAAGTTAAACTCATAGAAGTAGAGAGTGGAAAGGTGGTTATTCTGCTAAGAACTACGACATTAGTCAGTGGTTCGTATGATCTTCATAATCAATGACTCTTCTAGAAGTGTGTCTAGCACTAGAATGGATGCCCAGAACTGAAGTATCCATGATCCAGTTAATGTAAGGCATGCATTCTCCAGAAGTGGCTAGAGGTACTTTGAAAAGAATAGATAGATGATAGATAGATAGATAGATAGATAGATAGATAGACAGATAGATGATAGATAGAAGAAAGGGAGCAAATTCTGATGACCACTCCATAGCATGGTTACTGTAGTTAATAATGTATTTTATATTTCTAAATTGCTACAAGAGTGTATTTTAAATGTTCTTTCAACAAAAAACTAGAGAAGTAAATGAAATGATAGATGTGCTACTTAGCTTGAATTAATCATTTTACAGTATCTGCAAATACCCAAACATTCTGTTATAAGCCATGAATATATACATTACTATTTGTACATTTAAATTTAAGCATGCATGCATATTTACATATAAAATTTTATTAATTAATCAGTCTATCTATAGAAAAACTTTGTATCAGGCAACGTCACCAGGATCTTTCCTATATTTAAAAGTACTTGACGTAGGTACTAAGTGCAACTGATTCTGGAGGCACACGTGCATTTTAGAGGTGGTAGAAATTGGTCAGGAAATAAGAATCAATGAGGGTATTTTTCTTTTATTTAAGAAATTATGGGGCCCAAGCCTGAGACGATTTCTGGAGAGTGTGGAGTGAGGAGAAAGTAGGGTGAGGAAGGCTGATGGAGAGGTGGACACATATCATATGAATATGGCAGATCTCCCTCAACTGTCCTTGCAGTTTAGTTGGCAAGAGTTCAATAAGGTGCTACCATCTCCAGGCTCCTGTTATACTTCATACTTGTGGGCAGTTAGCTCTCCTCAACTGCTCCATGAGTGTCAAGCTGCAGTCCCTGCAAGTGGGAGTCCATGCTCTCCAGGTCCATTTGTGCTCTCCATTGCTCATGGGAGAGTCCTAGAAAATGTTTATTAACTGAAAAAATTTAAAGTAATAGTCATATTTCACAGATTGAACTCCTGTTTCTTCAGCCACACCCTGGAGAGATCCAGAAAGGTTTCATAGGGCAAGCCAGTTTGATTTGTTTTAGCTGCTTTTTTCCTTATTTTTTTTACAGATGCCCTTTTGATAAAAATGAATTCCATTCTATCTACTGCACTTTCAAGTTCTTGGTAAAGCTGAAGGCAGGCTTGTTAACACTCCCCTTCCAAATTACAAGCAATTCATTTTTTAATCTGTTCTTACAAGACACTGTAAAGTTAGCAATTTCCTTTAAAATTGGATTTATTTCCTTAGCAAACAACCTTGGGACATGACAATGATGGTAATGATCATAGCATTTTACTGGTCCACTTCCCTCAAAGACCTCTGGATGTCTTTCACAAGTTAGCAGAATTTATAATACATCAAGCAATCTGAGATTTTTTAAAAAAATCTTTAAACAAAATGTCTTGACATTGTAGGTGTTAAATATGACTTCTTTGAAATCATTACATACCTATTAATTACAAGAATGTTTTTCCAAAAAATAACATAGCATACTAAATGAGTAACTGTTGGTAAAATTGTTGTTTAGAAAAAAAATCTGAATTAAAGTATACCTCATTCCAATTTGCACCAATTTCACTTGGAGCTGTTTGCCTGCATCAATTTTCTGAGTCATACCTGTCTCATTTGGAACTCAAAGTTCCCTTAAATGTTTGTTTTCTACTGAGGGGAAGTTTAAATATCCAGAGTTCTGGGTGCTAAACCCATGAATATCTTTCTTTTTTTTGGAGACTAGTAGCCCCAGCTGTCCTGGAACTCCCTTTGTAGATCAGGCTGGCCTCCATCTCACAAAGATCCATCAGCTTCTTCCTCCTGTGATTAAAGCCATCAGCCAACATGCCTGGCCCCATGACTATCTTTTATTTATTTTATGTGTGCTTTTGAGCTTGTGATATTAGTGTCATAAAAGTCTATTAGGTTACTATATACATATAAAAGCTAGACTCATATTAATAATAATGTTAGGTATTAAATAGTGATTCTTTTCTATGCTTTCCATGGGGTAGTCCAAAGTCCAAAAGGGAAGTGTTACAATTTTAAATAAATTTCTGACAAACGAACTCTATTTATAGTTTCTAAAATACTGTCGTACATATTACTTCATTGTATTTTTCTCAATCATTTGAGAATCTCTCCCATGTTACAGAGAGGAAATCAAAGACTTAGAGAAATTGACAAGTTTTCCAAAAGGCATATGGTTTAATCAAGACATGTAGCTGGTACTCTGGCTTTCTGGTCTTCTTTCTAAAAATGTAGTATTTTTCCCTCAGCTTTAATGGCCTAATATGATCTGCTAATTATGTTTATGAAGTTCCATTAATAGTACAAATATTTCACAGTTTTCCTAGAAGCCCTGTGCCTGGCTCTCCCTCTGGTGCTTTACACTGTGGGTTTTGGCGATCGTCACTGCTGTCACCTTCACCATGAAGATAGCAGCAGTTGCAGCAGCAGCATCTCAAGACTGTGCTGAGACTCAGGCCTGTGTTAGGTGTAGGCATTGTACTCAATTAAGGTATATGAAAATTAGTTGAATCAAGTCAAGTGTCAGGAATATACTAACAAGTGGGTAAAGCTCTTGCTGTGCAAGTGTGAAGACCTGAGTTTGAATCCCTCAAGCCCAGGAAAACTTGGATTCATCAGTGTGTCTCTGCAGTCCCAGGATTCTACAGCAAAATTGGAAGTGCAGACAGGAGAAACTCCTGAAACTCATGGAACAGCTAGCCCGGTGTACAACAAACAACAGCAGGGGCAAACAAAAAAGAGACCCTGTCTCAAAGAACATGGAAAGTGTGGACCAGGAGCCAGGGTTTTCTTTTGACCTCTGCCCTGTGGCAGGCACATGCCCACGTTCATACACATCACACACACACACACACACACACACACACACACACACAGAGAGAGAGAGAGAGAGAGAGAGAGAGAGAGAGAGAGAGAGAGAGAGGATAGCCTGGGTACTTATGAGCCAAATGAGTGGAGAAGCATTAGATACTAAAAAAATAGCAAGAGCTTATGATCACAGAAGAATGGGGCTTCAGGAAATATGCAAGTGACTGGAAAGGACTCAAGGTGGGAACAAGCTCTAAAGACTTAAAGAAACCAGCCAGAGGAAACAAGTAGGAGGGGCATTTTTAGAAGAGAGAAGAACATTTGTCATAACATTGAAATGATGCATGGAAAGTGAGCAACCCTTATCCAGTCATAAAAGACATTGATGACTCAGAAGGATGGGGTCTCTGGGCCTCCAGGTCAATGTCTAGAATTTTATAGTGGCATTGAGTGTGACCACACCTTGCTCATTTTGGGTCAAAAGTGAAAAAAAAAACAGTTTTAGATTGCATCTTATGATTTTTAAGGTAATACCCCCTTCAAGACTTAGATAACACTACAGGAGGATCAGAAGGAATATGAGTTGAGGATGGGAAAATGTGCACAAAAAGATGTCTTCTAAACATGGTATAGCCTTTTTCACTCACGAACACACTGCATCCATGGTTACCTGCACAAAAGCTGCCTAAGAATGGGTCGAGGGCTGATGTAACTCTCTTCATGGATGAAGGACAGGCCCGTGAAGCTTGCTGCCAGAGGGCTGTCACTTTCTCTAGTGGTGCGCCCACAGATAAATTGCCCTTGCTCTGCTGAGTAATTTCTCACTCATACTCAGGCAAGTAACAGGGTTGAAACTCAGTGGGACATACACAGATGAAGACTTGAAAACTGGAGGATTCACAGAGAAGAATGGTGCCAACAAGAAAAGGAGAATGAGGTCAAAATGACAAAATTCACTGTATAAATGTATGAAACCATCAAACAGTTAAAAATTGAAAAATATATATATTTATTTATTTGTGTGTGTGTGTGTGTGTGTGTGTGTGTGTGTGTGTGTAAGTGCACCATGGTACATGTGTGGGGGCCAGGGGACCACTTGCAGAAGTCAGTTCTACCTCCTTCCACTCTGTAATTTATAGGCTTGGTGGTAAGCAAATTTACCCACTGAGCCATCTTGCCATCTTGCTGCCTTCCCTTTAAAAGAAAAGAAAACAAAAACCCAACAACAATATACTAGTCATTATTTTATCTGCAACATTTTCTTTTTTATATTTAATATGATTATAGATATTTTGGAATCTGTATCTGCTATTTTGACATGTACTATACAGTGCTTGTTCTAAATGTTTTATCTCCTTTTTATCTTCTTTTGAATGAAATATTTTAAATTATTTTATTTTCCCAATTTTTTATTAAAGACACACAAGTCACATAGTGATCATCCTAGCAACAATATCCCATGTTAAGAAATGAAAACAACCTAGATGCCCACCAGCTAATGAATGGATAATGAAGGTATGGTACATTTATATGATGAAATATTATTCAGCTCTACAGAAAAATAAAATTCGCAGATAAATTGATGGAGCTGGAAAAAAAAATATCCTGATTGAGGTAACCTAGACCAGAATGACAAACATTATGTTCGCTCTCACAGGTGGATGCTAGCTTTTAATCTTTAAACAGGTGTGTTTCAATTGTAAAATCAATAGAGTTTAGGAAACTAAAACAAATTTTAAAAAGCCATGGAAGGGGGGGTCATAGAAGAAGACATGCAATGCATTAATGCATTATTAATATAAAAAAGGGAATAAGGACCTAGAAAAAGGTTAAATGGAGTCAGAATGGGAGGGGGGCAAAAGAGGGAGTAACATTTTGATGAAGTCATATGGAAACCTATGACTAGACTATAGAAGCTCTTAAAAGAAGTATATACACAATACTAAAAAAACGCTTGAATGTTGTTACCTTATGATGAGGGTTCAATGGCCCTACCAGACAGTATAAGCTAGTACATAAAAGCCCAATGCCAAGAACTAACTCCCTCTCTTAGATTTGTTGACCATGGGGGATCCATAGACCCTCACACAACAGTGGCTATTGCCGTTTCTCTTGGTTACCCTTCAGAACTTGACAGCAAGACTCTATTGTTGAAGACATATGTGAGTCCTAGAACAGAGAAGGAAAAATCAAACTGATACTGACCTCTAGGCTTCATCTCTACTAGCCTGGCAAAGTATGCTCACTGGTTTAATGGAGATTTGAATGTTATGGGGGTAACCAACATCTTGTGACTAGAATTAAAGTCTACTTCAATAGTTGGAGCCCATGTCTGGCACTGTTGTCAAGGCGAAGAACCTGTGGATAACCATGTCACAGACAGCAGGGAAGAGCCTACTACCATTACGCTGCTAAATGGACCTACTATTAAGTCAACTCCTAGTGTCTCATTGTTATGCCCACAGATTAATGCATTTCTCAACAGAAAATCTTCCTGCAGCAGATGGTGACTAACAGAGAGACCCACAACTGGTCAACATGCAGAGTATAAGGGCCCGCAGAGTGCTTATCCCTAAATGGACACCTTTATCACACCCTGTCCTTCCAGGGATCATTGTGGAAGAGGGCACAGAAAGATTGTAAGAGACTGAGGTAGTAGACAACTACAAGGAAACAGTGTTTTCTAAACAGCAAGGCAGTTGCACATCTGAACTCACAGCAGTTGTGAAAGCATGCACAAGACCGATGCAAGTTCAAGCAAGACAGAATCCCAGAAGAGTGAAATGGTCATGGGCAAGAAGAGTCAACCCTAACTGAGGGATTATTGGCAACTGATAGCTGCTGGGAGAAGGAGCTGGGAGAGGGAGTGTGGTGCTGGGTAGGTTGACCAAGGTCCATGTGGTGGACCCACATCCAAGAGCATTTGGGGACACAAGTTAGATGTGTAAGGCTTTAAAAAAAAATAGAGGACATGAAGTCAGGGGGTATTAGGTTGGGGTAGAGATGGGGGAATGTATCTGAACATGATCAAAATATATTAAATTCTCAAAGAATAAGTAAAATGTTTTTAAGAAACTCAAAGGTAGGCAAAACTATAATACATTGTTTAGCAATTACAGGTTTATAGCATAAAACTCATGAAAATCAAGGAGATGATTAAAAAGGCATTGTATTGGTTCCTTGGAGCAGGAGTAATGATTGGAAGGGACATGAAAAGCACCAGGCAGGTACACCCCTGGTTTATTCCTCCCTGCATAATGGTGCTATGAATATCTACTTTATGGAATCTTTAAACACAGACAATTATATTTGATGTGTTTCCTCATGTAAATGTGCCAACATCTACACTTAAATATTTTTCTGTAAAGAAGCAATTCTATGGAAGAGCTCAGAGCTCTGAAAGACAAAAGAAAGAGGTGAGGAGACAAAAGAGATGGAAGAGAAAGGAAGCCATGCTGCTGTTGTATGAGAGTCAGACCAAAGGACCCGGGAACAGAGGGGCTAAGAAGAACCTCTGGACATGCGTAGTTTGAAACCAGTTGAATCTCTCTGTGAGACTGTGATAAAAGCTCCTCTTCTACTTCTTTGATAAAATCTTTTAGAAAGTTCAAAGAATGCTTGACACAACGGAAAACAAAAGCCATGTGGGTAGAGCTCACTGAGCAGTTGGTTGCCTACCTTTCTGAACCTTAAGTTCTCCACTGTAAAGGAAAAAAAATTCACCCCTTAGTTATTTAAGAAAAAATATTCAAGTAAAAGGTTGAGTCTCAGACCTTTTGGTTAGTTGGGTTTCTTGTTTTGTTTCATTTCTTGGCTTTGAAAAGTATTTCTAAGAATTAGATTTCATTCCCTACTACTAAAGTCAGTTGTTTCACCTAAAAATGTGAATTTCTAGATTTTCTTGGAAATAGAAAATCTGGCTATGCTGGAATTCATTCCTAGATGGCCAAGTTCACCATCGGAGATTAGAACATGTCCCTACTGACAATGGTGTGATTTCCGCTAGGCTACCACCCTACCCTTCCATATTTTTTTTTTTTGCTTTTTACTTGCTTCCTTAATATTCTCTGACTGGCCCTTTAGTGAACAGTTCCCTTTAGGATTTAGTGCAGCACTGAAATGAATCTAAGTCTTGGCTCACTTCTTTCATGATCTCAAATACTTGTTGACTGATACATTACCAATGCTGCACCAGGGTAAAAAGAAAAAGCACAATTACCTTTAATAATATTAATAACTTTGGAAGGCATGCATTTTTATACCATTTTTGAAAATATCACATAAATGTACTTATGGAATATTACCAATCATGGCACTCAAATAATGGGATTACTGACAAGACATGTAACTGCAGGGACTGCTTACCATGTGGGAGACTGCTAATGAAGCCTGCTGCCAGGTGTCCATTACCATCTTTTCATCTGCCTCAAAGTTTGATTCCACACCTTCCAGTGAAGAATCAATCTTGCCCTTCAATAACGCTTTTATCTTTGGTTTTATGGTGACATTTTCTGGAGAAATGGATATTCGAGGAACTAAAGGAATTCTTTGGAAAACAAAGAGAAGAAACATTCGGATTTCATTGAACAGAATTCTATTTTTGTGACTACGTTAATTTGTGATTTTTTGTTTTGCTTTAATTTACATTTTAACATTTTTCCTAGAAGAACTGTTTTAAAGGAAACACAAATCTATTTTAAGTAGAAAACAGTGTATTCACATTTATGTAATCTACAAAGCCCTTCTAATAATAGGAAACTCAAAGCAAACAACAACACAACATTTCCAGTTTTAATTCTCAGTAATTACAAGAGGATTAAGTAACAGTGATTGTGAAGAAAGATGATTTTATAATTTTTCCACAGCATACACTTCTTCTAAGTAATAAGTTAGTAACAAGAGAAGTAAATCCAATGAAACTGTGCATTACTTCTTGAAGACAACCAGTATTAGCTAGCAACATGGCAGCATATGAGAAATTAGTCTGAATGACCGAATGGGGCTATTAGAGAGAGTGGATATTTGTATGGTGGCCGAGGTAAGGCTTCAGCAGCCGTCCTCCTCCTTGTTTATGGGCAGTGGAGATTTTCTCTCTATAAAGTACCAAACACAAACTTGAAGCTTGCTCTGCATCCTCTCTCAATCATATTGCTTCCTCACATAGAACGTTTAGGGCAACCCATGGGGATATGGTCTCCTTTATCTAGGATGTCAAGGGTTAGCACAGGTACAGAGAGAGACATTGTAGAATATTAATTGTGATTTGGACCGTCCTTTGATGACAAAATATAAAAGGCCCTGAGTGTTTGGAAGGAATGGGGAAAAAAGTTACTCCAAAGATGGCTTGGTTGAAACTTTAACAAAAGAGTCAGGATCAATAACCGGAACAGTTCTTTCTTTTAGAGACTCAAGAAGCTGGGGTAATGGACCAGTAATTTAGAAGGGTAATTGTGAACTCCAGAAAACATATTCAAATAATGCTAAATCAAAGCTTTTCCAGTTTCAGTAGGTCAATGCAAAGTGTGTGTGATCATCTTAGGTCATTCAACACAGCATATCAAATATTTTTCAATACTTTGCTTTGCATGTCAGAAGTAGTGGCACAATATTTAGAAAAGAATTTGGGTTTATGACCCATTGATTTTTAACCAGGACCATCTGTCTGGGCACAGATTTGAAATTTCCCATTGGTGCTTGGTGGGCTCACAGTAGGATATACAACTGAAGGCAATGACTGTCCCTCCCATCAGAATCTATCATTTACCCATAATTCAGCAAGAAGGAGTAAGGCTCCATGAGCCTCTCCAATATTCAGGATTAGCTACTGATAGGCCCAGTATTGTTCAGGCCCAGTGCAGGCAATTGCAGCTTCTATAAGGTTGTGTTTGCATGGATGAATTGGGCCCTGAAATAACATTGCACAGAATTTTCCTGTCTCTCTGTTGTCCTTACATTCTTTTTTTTCAGTATATATAATTAAATTTTTGTGCATTTCATACAATACTCTACAACCTCTTCTGCAGTGTTCCCTGAGTCTTGGGGGAGTGGAATAAACGTCCTGTTTAAGGATGAACACTCAACTCTTATTTATTCTAAGCACCTTGATCATCCATGAATCTTTGCATTCATGATGGGGGGGTGACAGGAGGGAGGTACAAGATGGCAGGTGCTGAGAGTAAACAGAATGCACTATACACATGTGTGATATTATCAAAGAATATATTTAATCAATAAAAGAGGAGATGTGGAAATGAGATCCAATAAGAGTACATGATATATTAAAATTAGAGGTGGATGTTAAAAAGAGATTGGGATTTAGAATCCATTTATTGTAGAAAGCCTTAGTGTAGGTAGCTCTGTCACTATCAGGAGATATGAACTTGGATATGTCACTTGACTTTCTGAGTTTAACTGCCTCTTAGAATAATTCAAATACATTATTATTGTCATCAATTAGTCATTATAAATTAATATTTGCAAATATCATTATGAAAATGCTTTTTAAAAATATTTAATTAAAATAGTTTTTATTTTTATTTTTTATGTGTATGAGTGTCATGCCTGCATATAGGTAAGTGCACCTGTGTTGTGCAATGCCCATGGAGGACAGAAGAGGCCGTCAGATCCCCTGGAAATGGAGTTGTGGGCAGTTGTTAGCTGCTATGTAGGTGCTGGGATTCGAACCCAGGTCTTCTGCAAACAGTCAGTGTTCTTAACCGCTGAGCCATCTCTCCAGCCCCTATTTATTTATTTTTATGTTTATGAGTCTATTTCTTTTATGTACATAAGTGCACCGTGTCCTGCAATGCCAGTAGAGGTCAGAAGAAGGCATTGGATCCCCTGGAACTAGGTTTAAGGACAGTTGTTAGCTGCCATGTGGGTGCTGGTTTTGCAAGAGCAGCCAGTGCTCTTAACCAGTGAGTCATCTCTCCAGCCCCGGTGAAAACATTGTTTTACTGTCAACATTGCTATTACAAAGTAGTAGGAACGAATACAATAGGACGGGTATTCAAAATGCTTAACACTATGCTTTCTTATCTCTACATGTGATAGACTGTGGTCAACTGGTTGGTTGCCTGGTTGGTGCACCGACTGATAGTTCCAGCAGGTAGCCACAGCAGTGATTTGAGGTTGAGATCGGTACAGAGCTACTCTGCAGAAAATAAGAACTGACTGTTCTCCTTCCTGCTGGCTTTATTCTATTAACCAACATTAATAACTTCCCCATTATGGCTGAGTTGCTATTATGTGCTAAGGACAGGATGCACAGCCACTCTAGACATTGAATCTTGGTCTCTTTTGGTGGTTCTGATGGTTCATACCGCCTCTGGACTCTATTACTGGTTTTAATTTTACAAGTTCTTTTTTAGCAGCTTGCCCAATATTTCTTTTATATTTGGAAGAAGAGGGTACATGCTTTGCCTTTGTCTGCTCTTCTGCAGATGTGGGTCTGATGGGACTATGACGGCACTAGATAGAAGAGTGAGAGGGAATGGGCCCTGGACCATCGGATAGCATACTATGGTAAAGCCATATCAAATGTTTTTTTTTTTTTTTTTGGAGAAGGGAGAGCAAAAGAAACAAAGCAAAAGCATGCCATGGTGCAATTCCCAAACCATTACATATCAGCAAGGAGAGGTGATTGTATATTATGCAATAATAAAAGAAACTGCCATTCATTGGAACTAGATTTTATGTATTTGTAGATTTTATTTTCTGGAATTCTCGCAACCCTGCTTTAAGGATATGGAAATTGAGGCTTAAAGAATTTGAGTGACTTGCCCAGACAAATAAGTTATCTTAACCTATTTCCATATAGTTAACAAGTCACAGACTTGGGATTTAAACCAGACCCAACTGATTCCAAAATATATACATTATGTTATTGTTTTGTTTATGCAACTCTCCACCTATACTGAGTAAACAAGCTTGCAGAAAACCAACTCTACTGTTAGTATCAAATAAAAGCTCGTGTCTTTGGACATTTAAACTTAGCATCTAGTGTCTGTATATTATTTTTAACTCTTGACTTCTGCTTTTACCTTCAGTTTTATAGATTACTTTTTCTTTTTTCATGGGTTGTTTACTGATAATGAGGAAATATTTTAAATTTCCTTATTTTCATTAATTTATTCTCAAACAACACATTTGTATCCAAAAGACTTTGAATTGTGTTTCCAATTGCTTTATTTTATTTTACATAAAAGACATTAAACCCAGATTTTAGTGTTTCATGGCTGGAAATCACATCGTAGGAATTGCTATCCCCATGCACACCCCTTTCATGAAGACATTTTCTCTACTTCTAGTAGCTTCTCAGAGTTTGAGATCTTGTCCTCCTTTTCCTTGTCCTCACCCATTATGCATAGAAAAAGTAGTAACTTACAAAGATTTCATTGTAGATGATTTATTTGACACAAACCATTTTTTCTTCACCCTGCCACTGAGCTCCTTCCTATTCTAGCTGGCAGCAATCTGACAGCAGGCTCTTAATAACTCTTTGATCTCATGAGGTTCTGGACATACAGTACTGAGTTTTTACTATTTTTCAATTTCTTCACCTGTAGAAAATTCTTAACTCCTTCAATATTTATTTACATAATAGGACATACACACACAAACTGACTGGGTTGATTTACGCAAGTTGTAGATATACATAAGCCCTGACCAGTGACCTTTGATGCTAAAAGTGTTTCTGATTTCAGAAATTATGCATTCCCTTGTATTCCCAGTAGAATCATGTGAAGGACCACCAAAAACCCACATGATACACTACAATCAAAGGAATAAATATTAACTACTAACAAGATAAATAATTATTTATCTCAAGTTAATACCACATTAAAATGTAGAAGAAAATAAATGCTCAGCTTTTAAATTGTTTTGAGGTTTGGGATTTGCAGGGAAAGGGCTATGATTTTATAATAAAAAACACAAAGCTTTGTGTTCAAAACTATTACAGTGTAACACAATGGTCTGCCTTACCTAAGTTGGTTTTCTGAAATTTCTTTACCTTCCAGCTGAACCAATGGGACTCGAGTAAATTTCCTACTTTCTTCCACTGGGATTTTGCATTCCATTGCTCTATAATAATCTTGAAGGAGTCGTTTGGTATCTTGGAAACGGTTCAGTTCTGCCTTTAATACAGAAAGTAGATATCAATATCCCCCAAAGAACAAACTATCTGTATTTCCCATACAATGTTCTTTTATGAGACTTCTTAATTGTTGGAGTCTTAGATTTGAAAGGAATCTTTAAAATCTTTAAGATTTTCTTTTCTTCTTTTGATGTGGTATTGTTGATTGAACTTAAATCCTTCAACATTCTAAATGAGCACTTTATCACTGGCCTACATACCCAGCCTTATTTTTCTTTTTTCTTTTAAGACAGGGTCTTATTACTTGACCAATTTGGCCATGAGCTCACTCTGTACCCCGAGCAGACCTTGACCTTCTAACCCTTCTCTCTTAGCCTCTTGGGCAGCTGTGATTTACAGGATCCTGCCACCAGGGTTAGCTTAGCAAGGCTTTTCAAAAATTTATTGTATATGGTCATGTAATAGTGTCAGCTACACAAGTCCCATGCAAACTCAGGCAGACAAAAAACCCAGCATGGAACTGGGGAAATGAACAGCAGACCCCAATCTTTGCTGAATAAATATTGGCAACTGATTACTGGTAGGTGATGGAGAATTGATCTTCCTAAAACAAGGGACTCTAGATAGGCTGACTAGACCTCAGTGGATGGACTTGCACTGGGGAATGTCTGGGGACACTGACTTGACACAGTGGGGCTAAACATGGATGATGGAGTATATGGGTTTCAGTGGGGGGGAGCTTTGGGAGGGTGCCATTGAACATGGGAGGTATAAAGATGATTAAGATTGTTTGAGATATTCTGTATGAAACACAAATATTCAATAAAAACAAATTTTTAAAAATTACTAGTAAGTCGTTAGTCTTCAGAATTTTTAACACAGATGTGGTGTCATCAGAAAATTATAGTTCACAGTTTTGGTAGCATGGTGTGGAATTTTAAATTTTAATCTTCTCACTTTCAGAATTGTCCATATCTATTTATTAAATGTATCTTTTTATATTTAATATTGCTAGACCACTGCATGTGCTCATATGTCAGTATATTCTGCTGAAATGACTGATGCTGGAGGATCTCTTGAGCCCAGGAGTTTGAGGTCAGTCTAGGGAACATAGTAAGATTCTGAATCAAAAAACAGATAAAACGCACATATACAAACATGCACACACACACACACACACATATATAGGCATGCCCACCCCCCCCCCCTCAAAATACACACACACACACACACACACACACACACACACACACACGGACTATGGTCAACTACAGGTAACTGAAGCCATGGAAAAGGAAATGATTAAGAGGGAGCTACTGCAATCCACGAGGCCCCTCCTGTGCTCAGGTTTCTCCTAATTTTCCACTTCTGCTGTTATGCATGGGATGTCCCTTTGATGGCTGGAAATACAAGCATTGATTATTCATCTATTGACAAAAGATTTGTTGGACACCAACTATAGACACACTGTAGCAATCACCACAGAATGTCTTCTAAGTTAATCAATTATAAATGAGAACCACACCTTTGCCCATTCTCTTCAGCAGCTATTCTAGCAATAAAAAATATTCAAGTAGGCATAGCTTGACTAAGACCACCTTGAAAGTAGCCTAAGCTTGACTAATTTTAGACAGGTTTCTTCAAGACGCTAGCCCCCAATCTTCCTCAATAGTTAAGGAAACTGGTCCATTGTAAACCTTTTACCTGTCTTTCTGAGAAATACATTCTAAAACAACATTCTTATTAGTTTTGTAAACTAGAATGCCTTTCCCAAGATCTGAGAACTATCTCTTTGAAATATTCCTCAGGGTAGACAGTTATTTCAAGATTCCTATATGAGGATGGGAAATTAACTTTCAGTAGGTACCTTAAGTCATAAAGCTGACTCCTATAATGAAAATAGGAGAATATGTCCTTCCATCTTAGTAAAACCAATTTAAAAACACAACTGGCCTCATCCCTCATCCCCAACTTCCATCCCAGACAGAGTCCTCAAAAGCTATCAGCACTTTGTCTTGGCAGTACTGTGTGTCAAACACTGAATCTCTCTCTCTCTCTCGTTTTCTCAAAATGTGATCACAGCACCATACTATAACATTTGGTGTACTAGCCCTAGCCAGAAATTTGGTTCAGGTGCTTGCTATGTTACCCTGGCAAACCAAATTTGGTTCCTGGACCACATTAAATTTGGAAGAATATAATGGACTCTACAAAGTAATCCTGTGGCTAATCTCTCCCCATTCCTCCCTCCCTTTCTCCTTCCCTCTCTCTCCCTTCCTCCTTCCCTCTCTCTCTCCCTTCCTCCTTCCTTCTTTCTCTCCCTTCCTCCTTCTCTCCTTCCCTTCCTCCTTCCCTCTCTCTCTCTTCCTCCTTCTCTCCTTTTCTTCCTCCTTCCCTGCCTCCCTTCCTCTTTCCCTCCCTCTCTCCCTGTCTCCTGATCCTGACAATAGATTCTATGGGTCTTATAGATCCCCGACATTACAGCTAGGCAGTTTTTCTGTGCTAAGCTGACTACTTTAGGTATTTGAGAGTCTGACCAGGTAAACACCTCAGTCAAATCCCTCTGCACATATGTAGGCCACCTGCAAGCAAAGTTAATGACCAGCTGCTTGAGATGGTCTGTTTCTGTGCTTTTTTGGCTGAAGCAAAAATGAATTTTGTTATCTAATTTTCTTGGCAAGCCAGAATGCATGCCAGGTAGAGTGTTATGCACAAAATGATCCTTAAGTAGAACCCTGACATTCCCGAAGGAGTTGTTATGTGTGGGGTGAGGCTGCAAAGGACAGAGTCTCTGTCACTGTGACCCAGCTGCTCCTACCTGCATCAGGGAGAAGAAGTGATTCATTGTTATTCCAAGAGAGTCCTGCAACCAGCTCTTGTTAATGATATCAAGCCTTTCCTGCTCTGCTTCTTCCCTCCTGGCTTCACAGATGTCCCACAGGCGGTCTCGCAAATCCTGAGAACCGGAAACAGTGTGATTGTGCTTTAGAATCATGGCTTGGATGACCTCAGCATCATAAACCTGAGCTCCATCGCTGTCCTGAAATGTCCTACAGAAGGCAGGCCTAACATGCTCATTTGTTAGGGTTGATTATTCATCCACTGCTAATGTTTCTTAGATCATACACCTCACTTCTCACAAACCCATTTCTGCCCCATTTATGTGTGTTAGTCTTTCCTCAATATTTTTTTTTTGTTGTTGAAAATTCTTTTCAATGAGTTTTTTTTTTCTAGAAAGTTGTGTATTATATGTGGAAAAAATACACAAGTACAATTAAACCAAGGTCATGTGTTTGCTAATCAATACAGATAGAATATCATTTACCAAAAAATATTGCTTGAGTTTAATGAGATAGTTCATTTAAAAAGCTTTACACCAAAGTTACCAGTTAAAAATCCTCTAAAACATCTCATCTCTGCAGCATACAAGATTATGAACAGTAATAAAGATTATAAATAGAATAATATATAATGCAATATTTAGATATATTCATATAGTATGGAATCCATTCTGACCTCTGTGGGCATCACATGATATGGGTGCCCTTACATATACACAGGCAAAACACTCGTACATATAAAATAATAAAATAATAAGCAACTTTAAAAATGGTTTTTGAAGGGATGTTGGAGTTGGTCAAAGGCTTTTTTGGCATTTAATGAAATAATTTTTTTTTTTTCTTGAGGCTGCTTATTTGGTAGATTACTATGGATTTGTAGACTGAACTATCATCCCTGCATCTTTGGGATGAAGTCAACTTTATGGTGGATGATTTTTTTGAAGTGTGCTTGAATTTGGTTGTCAAGTATTTTATTGATCATTTTGCATTTATGTTCATCAGGGAGACTGGCTTATGTTTTTCTTCTTTGATGTTTGTCTGGTTTTGGTATTAGAGTGATACTGGCTTCATAGAAAGAATTTTGAAGTGTTCTTGCTGGTGGAATTCAGCACTGAATCACCTGGTCCTGGAAGATTTTTATTTACTGTTTCTATATCATTGGTTGTTATGTATCTGTTTAAATTACTTATTTCATCTTGATTTAAATATAGTAGGCCTTATATAGCCAGAAATTCACCACTATTTTAAGGTTTTCTAGTTTAGTGGAATATTTGTTAGCGAAATGGTGACTAAAACAGGACACCTGTTAAATAAATTATGATAATGTCTTAGTCATACCTTTTAGCCATAAAAATGATGTTTTAGCGGAGTTTTATTGAAAAAGAAACATGTTGGATTGATAAAGTCGGAAAACAATATATGCACTGTGGTTCCATTTTTCTGAGAATAATCTGGAATAATAAGTACACACAGACCTAGGTGGTAACAACAGCTACTAATGGCAGTGGAATATGGGTTTGTCACAGTAAGTTGAATTTCTTTTTATTACCTAATTTATCTACAATAAACATATTGTATATTTGGAATTAGAAAAAGGAATAGATAAGATATTTTGGATTTCCAAATCTGCGTTTCTGCCAACAACCACCTACTATCAGGAAGAAGAATACAGGAGAGCTATTTTACAGCTAGTTTAATGAACGGGAAACAGAAGAAGTCCATTGTAGGATTCATCATATGGCTACTTATTGTTTTGAGGAATGTATATGAACAGGCAACATGTGAACACCTCTTGTGTTAAAGACCTTGGCATCTCTCATCATCTAGGTCACTAGGATGCCTGACCTCTATTGTAAGAGCCCACAAGTTGGTTTCCTACTAGTCTTTATGTGCTTTTACACCTCTACTGGAATTTTCAAAACCAGAATCCAAGGTTACTATCGCTGTGGGACCTGTATCACTACTCTAAAATGATCTTCAGGACATAGGTAGTACTGGTATCTCCACAGCCTCTCTGACCTCACCACCAACCCTCTGCTCTGTGTTCACTCTGCTCCACCCTCCTTGGTGTTCTCCACACACACCAAACCTCCTGTGCCTGCTATCTTTGTTTTTGTTTTATTCTTCATCTGTCATGCCCTCCTCCAGGTAAGGGTGTGGTTCACTACATTACTCCTGTCCTCAGTCTGTTCAAATGTTGTCTTCTAAATAGGACTTTCCACAACCCTAACCTACAAAATAGTAGTGGAAATGCTTTATGTTCTTGCTTATTTTCTTGCTATCCTCATAGATTTTTTTTTTAAAAACTGATAACTCACTCACTATATGTATGAGTTTATATTGTCTTTCTTATTCTTTCTCTCAGATACCAGCATGTGAAGATTTGAAGTCACAGACTTTGTGTTTTTCTCTGAAACCCTACCACTGTGGACAGTGCTGGAGCAATTAATAGATGATTTAATATTCTTTGAGCAAATGATAGACTCTAGGGTAGAGTTTTGTAATGTAGTTATTACACAAATAAATATAGAGATCATAACAATATTTGACAACCTCTACTCAAGGTGTTGGAAAGGGGTAATTCTGATAGGATTAGAGAGTCTGTTAATTAAAACACAGACAGAATCCCACAACTGATCAGACACAGAGAATATACATCTGAGAAATGCCCAGTTCTAGGTGACATATCTGGAGATGAGCCTCTATACTTAAGACTCATGGAACATAGTGGGACAGGAGGTTGAGAGAAAATAGTGCATCCTTTATCTTTTACCAGTGGAGCTTCCATATATAACAGAATGTGATGCACACAGAAGGCCACAACTGGCCAAGTTTTAAAGAATAAGAGACTGCAGAGTATGTCCCTGGATAGGTCTTCTAGATTAAACTTCACCCACCCACCGCTTAGGAACCATTGCAAAAGAGGAGGCAGAAAGATGGTAAGAGCCAGGGCTGGTTCATGAGCACAGGGAAGCAGAGGCTTTCAGGTTACTGGAAGCTTTCACATGTGAACTTGTAGCAATGGTTGCATCGAGCACAGGACCCATGCTAACTCAATCAGACAAGGACCCAGAGTGATTTGAGGGAAATGGGTGATGGGCTGGCCCTAGTCTGGGAGCTGTTGGAGACTGATTACTATTGGGTGAGGGAGAGTATGCCTTACTTATGATCTCTAGATAGGCTGACTAATCTCCAGTGGATGAATTTGCACTGAAGGGTATCTGGGTATAAATGCTTGACTGAATAGGACTTAACATGTATGGTGGAATACATGAGATCTGGTGGAGGGCATGGATGGGAAGGGGTCTAAATTTGATTAAGAACTGTGGTATGAAAAGTTCAAAAGCTCAATACAATTTTTTTTAAAAAACCATAGACATTTTTTGGTTGTTAGCCTTAGCCTTTAACGGCTGTGCTCCAGCTCTAATGATATGCTTCTTCTAATCATGCAGTTATTAAAAATTAAAAAAATAAATAATGATTAAAAAAACCCATAGACAATGAAGGCTAAGAGACCAAACTTCTTGTGCATTAGAGGCCTTTGTCTAAAACATCAAGGTAATAAATTTTACTCATGAACTTATAAAGATCTGCTTGCTTCCTATCTTCCAAGCACTGTGATTGATAAGGTACAAAGATATGTACGATTTGGTACCTGTCTTCAGGGGATCTAGTCAACAGAGGCAACTCTGATCTTTCCTTGTATATATACCTTCTTGCCATTAACAGACTGGGTAACTAGATTTGCGCTGACCGTGTGATGAACACCAGGCATGGGCACAGCTAGGTGGACCAACAAGAGGGAAATTTGTCTGCAGTGCAGATTCCAAGAACCTTCCTTCATTGCTGACCTTGGCTCCTCTTCCCAGAAGTGTCACTGTTTAACCTCAAATGCAGAAAAAGCACTGTGCCAGAAAATTATGAGTAACTGGGTAACAATTGAAACCATTGATTTTCTATTGCTCACTCACATCCCTAAAGAGGAAAAGGAGATGATGAGTAAAGGTTTTGTAGGCTGAGGTGTGAAAATGTGGTGATTCTGGCCCAGCAGGTTCCCGTGGTCCTTACGTTCACTCTTTGGTGTAGTTCGGCCTTCGTTTCCTCATCTTCCCGTAGGTCTTCTGGAAGAGAGTTGAAATCTGCCTGCCATTGAGCTACAAAATCTTGCTTGTGATCTGGACGCTTTAGAAACTCCTGGAAACTGGTTCTGCAAGGAGGGAAGAGAATGAGATGGATCTTTGTTCTACCTATTAATGGCAAATTCTGACCTTGGAAACTTCACTTACCTAGTCTCATATAAATAAACAAGCACAGTGTGCTGGTTTTCTCTCAGATGTCTAAGTACTGTTTTGATGTGGTTTATGTAGGAGTTCTCTATTAGTTCCCAGTAAGGTACTAAAAATGAAGGCAGTTCCTATTAAATAGTAAAGCACAGAAATCAGTATTTCAAAATGCGAATTCTTCTGATAGTTGGGTCAAAAGAGCACTACTAATTAAGGTCAAGAACCAGCTACAACTACTTAGAGCACACCCTGTGAAATTTCTCAGTCCTCTTCTCTCTCCCTCCTCCAGATAATTCCTGTTTCAAACATCATTTCTTCCAGAAATCCTTCCCTGCTCCAACCAGTTCGTAAGGTCACCCTCAGAACTGTGCTTTGTCTTAACACCCTGTACTCTCATTGTTATAATATTGATGATATTAATTTTAACTGCTCATTTGTCTGAACTTTAGATTATCAGTTCCATTTAGTCAGGGACTATGGTTTTCTTGTTCACCATCAAAGAATGTTTCCTCTAATTGCCACAGTGTCTGGGACCTAGTAAGTGTACAGGGACTATTTGATGAATGAATGAGTTAAATTATCACATTTGCCTTAGCTGGAAAATTGCTCTGTCTGGAGAACACCTTGTGTTCTTGTCAAGGTGGGAATGAGTTGTTTCTGTTGCTTTCCTTGAAAATGGTCTTTATTTGATGTACATGACATGAAATTTATGAAGTTTATTTTGTTACCTTCAATAATGCAAATAAGTAATAAGTAATCAAATATGAAAAATCAATCCAAGTGGAATAGTATGTTGAATACACTTTTGCTCTATAGTTATTCCTTTACCAGCTGTGCATTTACTTACTCAGGGAATCACACTTAGGGTACTTATCTGGGATAACTTCTTCACAAGTACAAAATGCCAAATACTAGAGATATATTAAGCATTCACTCCATAACTCTCATGGATACAATAAGGATGTCATTTCAAGACAGACCACTCTGCTGTTACACATGTCACTGGATGAATTCTTTCCTGTGTTTAGTAGGAAGTTGCTTTTCTGATTTTTCTACTTAGCCTTCATTGTGGCATTTGAAGAAGGACACATTTTGTTCTTATTTTCTCCTCTATAACAGTCTGGTAAATATCACAAGACATGGTATCATTGGTGAGAAGAGAGCCACAATGGAATGAGAACTGATCCACTCTATCCTATCATTGCGGATGTACCCTACTATATATTTATAAACCAATCAAGAGTTACTCACTGAGTGGTAAGTCACTCTACCTGCCATTGGAAAAACAGACAAGAGTCCCTAGCCCTGGGAGCTTATATTATGGTTGCAAAGGGGGAATAAGTTGTCAATTAATAATTAAGTAAATTAGTAATCAGGTAGGTAAAGACCTAAACAACTTAATGAGTTTATATTTTTTTAAAAACAGACAAATTCAAGTACTAAGTTCTATGTGGTGACAAAAGTATTGTTTTGTTTGGATTGGTTGGGGAAAGTCTTTGTTTTTGTGCCTTGGGATTGGAGTTAAGGAAAAGGAAATTTGGAGGAAATATATTCTGAGCAGAAGGATGCAATGGTATGGAGACAATGTGTTGAAATTTGCCTTGCATATATTAGAGATAGAGATCTGGGTACTGTTGATAGAAGTTGATGGTGGAAGCTGATATATCAGAAAAGCAATGCAATTATGGAACTGCTCTCAGATGCCATCTCTTCCGGGTCTTGTTTTCCACCACTATCACCTTGCCTCAAATCCCTGACAGCTCTTGTCTAAGGCTATATGGGCATCTCCTGACAAGTCTACAGTATTCTTTTTATTAATCAGGTAATACTTATTTGTATTATATCTTTGTAATCACCATGTGAAAATATGATAATTGAGGCAACTTGTATAAGGCCCTGAGCTACTGGTGACAGCTCAGATTTACTCATAAGCAGGCTTATTTGATCACTGCAACCCTTGATTTTTAATAATTCATTATCTTGTATCTCTGAGTTAATGCTTTGAAAGTCTATCCCAAAATTGCACTTGCTGAAGAACATTCCATTGTTTCTGCTAACTGGTAGGTCAAATATAGACACTTCAGCACTTCTTTTAACATCCTTGCCAATAGTGGGAACTTTTTTGTGCTACTCAAACCCAAATGTATTATTACTTCCCCTCTGTTATTGAAATGGTTTATATTTCAGTTGCAGATTGTATTCTAAAACTGTATTATAGTAATTTGATTCTAGCTCTCTGTTGACTAACAAATGATAACCTTGGACACAGAAATTTGCCACTTGCTAATTTTGCATTTTCAGGCCTGAGTACAGTATTTGTACAAAACAGGTGCTTTAAAGATGTTCGTATGAATGCAAGCAGACTCTTCTGAACTTTGTTTTATCATTACTTACCTTTCTCAGATGCTGAATGGCTCCATTTAATTTTAAAAGCCTGAGGTTTCATGTTCAACTACACTGTAAATGTTCATATATCTAAATTAAACACTTAAGTTCTGTTAATACTACTCTGACAATGCTTCTTTTTTGAGACAGGGTCTCCCTACAGCCCCAGCTGGCCTGAGAACTCATAATGTAGGCCAAGCTGGCCTTGATCTCACAGAGATTCCCTTGCTTCTGCGTCTAGAGTGTTGGGATTAAAGGCATATTGGACCATGCCTAACCTCTGACATAATTTTAATACCCATATCTGAACCAGTTTCACTTCTGATTTCTATTCTTTTTCATAATCCATCTTAAAGGAAGTGGGATACAGAATGACCCTTAGGATCATTTCATCATCATTATTAAGTATTATTATGATTATCATGATCATTTACTATCATCACCATCACCATCATCATCATCATCACCATCATCATCATCATCATCACCATCAATACAGAGTCTCTTTATGCAGCCTATTCTGCCATGGTCTCATTGTGTACTTCAGGCAATCCTTGAACTCACTGTCCTCTTGTCTCAGTCCCTTGAGTGCTGGGAATACAGCTGTGTATCACTACATCCAGCTCTAAGGACCACTAAATAAGCACATTACTCCCAACTGACTTCAGTCTGTTAGTTAATGTTGTGTTCTTAATTATTTAGCACATAAGAATGAGCCTCAATAATGAATATCTGCTACTCAACTCCAATTTATCTACAGTCACATCATAAGGAAATTGCCAAATTGTATCTTGAACTCCAGAGAACCTTTGTTTACAGTCCTCTGCAACCCATCATTCTACCTTGCTATCAGAGAAGGAATCAATCAGTAACATCATATGTTCATTGTAGGCAGGCTCTGAGTGATCACTTCTATATTTTATAAGTGCTGAGAAGTCATGTGTTCAATAATTTTCTCTCAATTTTTGTCAGATATTGCTGTATAACTTATTGGTCTGCATGTCAATAAGTTCCTTTGACCTTTTCTTATATATATATGAGACATCTAACTGGACTGGACTACAAGAAACTGGAATGTCAAAAAGCAGAATCCAGGATAAGCAGGGGCTACTGTGTTTTGAGCAAAGATAGATGAGAAATGATCTGCATTAAGCCACATTGTACTTTCTGCAGGAAAATCCCATGTCCATTAGCTTCCTGAGAGATACTGGGTTGCCAATCTCTATATTGTGGCCCCTATTGTTAGAATGTGGCTAAGGATCCTGGATTCTAAGACATGGCTGTTTCTTCATTGAGTCCTCGCTTTTAGGAGTCACAAAATGAGAAGCAAAGATCTTTCATTCTGATGGCCTCTGTGGCTTTCTTTGGATGCATCTATTTAGATATGGAAGACCTGTAGTCATCAATAGATGTGAGACTAGGGTAGCAGAGAGATGTCTACTTAACTTTGTGCTTATCTGAAATCCAAATTAGAGTAGGCATCTCTGTCTTTCTTGGCAGATGAGCTCTGTAGCTCCTGTGGGGAAGCCTGAAGTGGGAAATGATTGGAGTGGCTCACACAACCTGCCTTGTTCTAGCAACAGTCAGTCTTTACATAACCTTAGTCAGCTTTGTTAATCTTTATTACATCACTACTTGTTCCTCAAAGTCAAATTCTTGTTCTTTTTTCATTTTGTTCAGTGATCCAAACAACTTTAGCAAAGTTCTTTCTCTCTATCTCTTGGCCAAAATAGCCTGCTCTCTTCTGGCAGCCCCTTTAGTAAAGTCTATAGTTTGGGTCACATGGCCCTATCTCTTGAGATTATCGAGGTTCTGTGCCCTTCCTTCCCCCACCTTAAGTCTTGAGTCCATAATGACTCCCTGCTAACCCCTGCTGTGGAGGAGTAAATTTCTCTTTATAGGTTTCTTAACATATGGGCCACATGTTTGTAATTACTGCTTTATGCTACTTCAAGGTTCATCTGCTACCTACCAGAATACATATTGATAGTCTATGTATGTACAGGAGCTCATATCATATCTCAGTGTTAATGAGTTATTTTAATTTCTGACCTTTATTTTCCTTTTTTCCTCCATAATGTTATTTCCTTTCTAAACATGAATTCAATTTGGGTATTTTTCTTCATCACTCTCCACCCTATAACAAGTATTTTATTTTCCCAGATTTTCGTATTCTGCTTCTGTCACAAAGTGTGAGCTTTGACTGTGTGTGTGTGTGTGTGTGTGTGTGTGTGTGTGCTCATGTGGTGTGTGCATGCATACATGAACATCCCCTAGAAGAACTCAGTAACAACTGTAACATCAGAAATACTGTAGTACAAGCTTGGCTTTCAAAATGCCTGATACATATCAAATGATCCTTGCTGAGTTAATCAGAGAGATCACTGTGCACTGAAATTAAAAAGGTGGTATTTATTTGTAAACAGTCTTTGTCCTTTACAAATGTTCTTTGTGATGCTCCCAGGATGAATTATCTGCTGAAGTATCTGGCCCAGGTAGCATCTACCTTTGCCTCTATCTCAGGACAATGGCCCCTTGGGCACTTCCCTGTCTAACACACTCATTTCAAGCTTTCAGGTCAGGTAGATGAGATGTCTGGTGTTTTAAGGTTTAGTTAGTGTCAAAAAATTTCTTCCAGTCATAAAGAGTCAGGTTAATCTTTGTCTGAAAGCATTATGATGTGGCCATTAGCACATGAATGAGGGGCTATAAGTTTGCTGAATATGTGTTCAGCAGAAGTCACTCTTCTAGGAAACTGCATCTCTGCTTGTCCTCAGGGATAAAATTGGTCCTCATAGAAACCATTTTTCTCCCTGATTTCAGCATTCAAGAGCAGTTTTGAAGTGTGACTCAGAAACTCAAATCCAGAGGAAAAATTTTGAATTGTGGTTCAATGAGAAGTCTCTAGAAAATTGATCTCAGTTATTTTTTCTTTTCTATACTGCAAATTCAATCCAGGGTCATGTGCGCTGTACCACTGAGCTACAACTCTAGCCTTATCTCAGCTTTTTAATAAATATATGCTTAGTGCAAGCTGCAGAAGATTTTTCTGGATGTTGCAAATATGGTGAAATTCTCATTATAAACAGAGTAAAAGGTTCTTCTAGTCTGATTCTAAGGTGCCATACCTCAGGAATGGGCTCAGCCACATAGAGCCGATCTTCTGATCCTGAGTTAGGTAATGGTGGTGCTGTTGTAGTGGGTGATGTTTCTGCAGAGCCAGCAGGTGATTTCTTTACTGGTATTTTTCCTCCTGGAGATTTTCCTTTAGGAGAACCTTAAACACGCATATTAAATCATTCCACTAAAAGTAGGTGAACAGAATAGAATACTGGATATGACTAAATCTATGATTGTCATGGGCTTTAAGTAATTCATAATTCATTGATTACATTTTAAGCTTCCTTGAACCGTCTTGCCAAATCAAAGATAAAATAAAAGCCTCATTCTCTGCAGCCCTCATATTATCCAGTAATAGTAATAATAATCAGTTCTTTGGATATTTAAAGCAAGCTAGCAACTTCCATCTGAATGGCTATCAAAAATAATTTTCTATTTTACTTCATTCCTGTCCTTGCTTCTATGATGCACACATGGCTCTTATAATATTTAGAATCTAGAACAAGGTGTGTTTACCTTCCTACTCTAGAAACTGGCAAATTGCAATCTTTATGCTGAATGAGAAAGAATGTATCTAGATCATGAACAGAGTTCATTTGTGTCCTTTGGGGCCCAAAGCAGAAGTCAGAGAAGAAGGATCATATATAGGATTTGCTCAGAGGAAATGAGGCTACAGAGGCCACGATAAGAGGCCATTGCAGCTCCTGAACCTTCCCACAATCCCTATAAGTCAGCACAAGGTTTATGAAAGGAAATTATTTCTTGCAATGGTCAGGGAATAAGGATGAAGACAGTTGTAGAGCTGTAAACTGGAGAACTGATAAGAGATGGAGGGAAGGGGGGAAGAAGGGAGGTAGAAATGAAAACAGAACTGAGAGGGGAAGGAGGGGGGAGAAGAAGGAGGAAGAGGAGGAGGGGGAGGAGGAGGAGGAATGGAGGAAGTCATCTATGTTTTAATTTAGATCTCTCTTCTCTTTCCCTAATGAAGAGGGCAACCTAAACCACGTGTTACTCTTATATTCTGAATGATCTTGTTTTTAAACTCATCTTCTGAAAGGATCAATGTTTTTATTCTTTAGAAAAATCACTGTTTTAATTCTACTTGCCTTCAGACTAATTATGGGAAATTTTATAAGCAGCTTATAAAATGAATATAACATGGAAAATATTTTCATTCTCCAAAATAGTTGTTATAATGAATATTATTTAATGATAAATATCCTTAGACATTTTAAATTTTATACTAGTTAAAAATTCATGACTTGTAAGCAGAGAAGAAATCAACTATGACTTTGGGTAGTTTAGATAATTCATAGTTATTTATTTAGAAGCAGTATCTATTTATCATGCATACACCTTCAGTTTCTAAATTTTGAAAATTTAAGGAAATTTTTCCAGACTGTAGCTAAAAATGTTCATTGTTTGACATGTTTTCTATATAATGATTCTTCATACCTTGACTGGACTCTCTGTTGAAATAAAAGCAATACTTATCTCTATAGCAAGTTTAAGACATAGTTCTCTAGGCAGAATTCTTAAGAAGAAAAACTGTATAATTACAAACAAAAGAGAGAATAAGCTTTATTTTTCCTTCTCTTCTTAAATATTATGATCATCTAATTAAAATTGAGAGATGGGGAATGATTTTTGAATCCTTGTTCTTTGGGTACACATAAAATTTATCAAATGTTTAGCAATAAAAATGCTGATGGGGGAATGTTAATGGAAAAATCAGTATCTATACCATAATGAGTAAAAAAAGTTACTTTTGAACAAAACCTCTATTAGCAACTTGAATCTGATGAGGACATAATTTTGAAGACATAATTTTACTAATTTTACTGTTATTCTGCCAAATAGACATAGAATTAAACTTACTCCTATTGAATTATACCCATTTATTAGTGTATTTCTCAACTCTCATGAGATACTTCCTCATGTCCCAGATAGTGGTTAACATCCACTATTCACAATTGGCCAGTGTACAGAGAATAAGTTTCAGAGTGCTTATCCCTGAATAGCAAACCTATTACAAACTTCTGCCTCCCAAAGCTCAGGGATTATTGTAGAAGTCGGGGGCGGGGGTTTGTCAAAGCCGTAGGCAGTGGATAACCACATGGAAACAGTTTGCCAGGCAACTGGGCAGTTACTCATATGAAATCAGAGCAATGGTAACAGCATACACAAGTCCCATGTAACTCAAACCAGATTAATGCAGTATAGAAGTGGGAAAGTGGGTAAGGAAACCTAACTCTAGCTGAGGAACTATTGGCAATCAATAACTTCTGGGAGAGAGAGAGAGTCAGTAATCCTTAGGGGTGGTACTAGATAGGTTTATCAGGCTCCCATGGATGGACTCACACTGAAGCACATTTGGCTTCATTGTCCTTAAAACAAACATATATGTATATATATAAACATATATATATATAAACATATATAATGAAACTGGGTTAGGGGTATTAAGGGAGGTTCAGATAGTAGAGGGGCTATAAATATGATCAAAATATATTACATGAAATACATAAAAATTCAATAAAATATGAAAAAACAAGCAAAATAGTAAATAAATCTTTAAAAAGTAGAATTTGGAAATGAATCATGGAAAAGCCTAGGGTTCTTTTTTCCATTAAAACTGTATATCACCTTCTGTCTGGGAGTGAGAAGGAAATAACCTTCATGTTGTACACGATATGCACTAAAGGTGATGCTTTTATTTGTAAATATTTGAGAGAATTTTAGTACCAAGAGATGATGCTTTATGGGAGAATTTTTGCAATCAAGATATCCTAGAATGTTACCTTGATTGCAACTTTCACTCCCTGAGATGGGTACATTGATACATGAAAAAAAAATCCTGTAACTAAAATCGTTTCAACTTGATGCAAGTTGGCATTTTCTGTGCTTAGTTGACTTGGAAAACTTTCTTCTTTAGCTCCTTACTAGCCCCTCCCAGGTGAGGTGAATGCATTTAAAAGTCATTATTTTATGAAAAAAATGTATTGGAACAATGCAAATTAGGTAGAAAGGGTAGCAAATAGTTTAAGGTCACCATATGAACAATTGTGAATGTAATCTCAGTGTTAAGATTTCAAGAGGAGAAAGAGATTGATTCAATACACAGAGAAGAGGGATGAGTTAATGATGTAAATCCCAGAAGTGTTAAGTTTTCAAAGAAGAAAAGAGATGACATCACAATCATACCGGATACTTTAAACACAATTATGATCCAATGGCCTGTGAGATAAACAGATAATTACATCCAGTGTCAATGATATTGATTTCAAATATTAAGAATTAATGGGGCTGGAGAGATGGCTCAGCGATTAAGAACACTGACTGTTCTTGCAGAAGACCTGGGTTCGAATCCCAGCACCCGCATGGCAGCTCACAACTGTCTGTAACTCCAGTTCCAGGGGATCTGACAGCCTCTTCTGTCCTCTGTGGGCACTGCACGACACGGGTGCACTTACTTACATGCAGGCATAACACTCATACACATAAAATAAAAATAAAATAAAGAATTAAAATTATGTAACTTCTTATTCATGAACAAATCTATGACAAATGTTGAAATCACAGATGGGCTTCCAATATCAATTTGAAGTTCACCTTTCAAAATCTGACCTCATAGACTAGCAAAGTAAAACATAAGCCATCTGGAAATCTTTTAAGTTAATTAAATAGAGC